ATAAGATGTGTTTCGAGTTATTTAATTTTATTCTATTTTCACCGATTTATGGCACGTAAAAGATCTTTTCTCTTTTAGTTGCTAATTTTGAATAGTTAAAATAATATAACTTTTCGATTATTCATAAACAAGTATTAGTCTGAAATAAGCGTCAATAATTAGAAGTTGTTAATGAACGAAACTAATAAGTGAAAATTATTTCAGCAGAGAAAGTAGGAAACTAAGAGAATTGAGAATAAAGATTAACGAGGTTATTACTTCGCTTTATGGAATTATTAAAATTTAATTGTTTCTCTTATCTGCCGCAACACTCATTAGTCATCTGTTTGTACAGTACATCTCAGCAGTTGTAAAAGCGTCTTAGTTATGACATCATCAGTTATAGGTGAATAGTTTATCATCCTTTCGCTCTCACTCCTTATTTGTATGTCTTAACGCCCACACCGAACTTTATATGTTGCTACATTATCCCTATTACCAGTTGTATTACGTTTTCGATAATGAGACGTAGAAAGAGAAACAACTTTCGCTTATCAGAAACCAATTGCTAAACGGGGATATCAATAAAATTTAAAATTCTCAAAGAAGTTATCTTTTATCTTATCGCGCTGTTTCGTTCGAACGACCTTTGACCTTTTCTACAAACCGTAAGACATTTACCGAAAGTAATGAGCTCGAAAGCGGAAATGACGTCTATAAATCTTCACTTAAGAACATTTGATGGGAAATTCCTCGGTTTCTCTAGGTACACATTAACAACCGACTGCCTCCAATTACGTATTTTTACGCCAGTTTTAACCCGTTTTCATTTTGTAAGGCGTTTTGAGATAATATTCGTCTGTAGTTGTAATTTTAATTTTTAATATAAAACAGGCGCATTTGGAAAGAGCAGACTTATGTCGACCATGCGTGTTGAAACGCATTAAATTTCGCACCTCAGTACGATGCGTGCGTGCGTTACTAAAATAACAAACTTAACGTAGGTTTAACGTGCAACAGATCAATCGGCCTCTTCCATTTTACATACTTATGGCGTTTTTGCACGAAATCGTATCGATTAATAGATAAATTCCATTAGAATATATACTTTTACTTTATAGAGAATTCGAGTAGGATAAGCATGGCAGATGCGACCGTCTTTATCATTTTGAATTTTCTAGTTCGGAGAGTAGAAAAGGAAATACACGTACAGGAGAATAACCGATATTCTTTACTTAGAAGAGCAAAGTGACAGTAAATGATATACAATTCCATACGCCAATTGTATATTATTAACTATCTCTAACTACTGAATGTGTCGTGTTTATTAATTAACATAACCCAATAAGAGGAAGATTAATCAGTCAAAATTTACTTTAATTACAGGCGAATCACTAATTAAACATGCGCTATGGCGTATATCGAAGAGTACTAATCATATATCGAACTTATCAGAATGTTAATTACGATATTTAAATGTGATTAAACACATTCGTTTGTTTGCACGACTATTATAATTTATACGTAAGCTGAGAACAGATTAAGAAATTATACTTGCACCTTCGACTTTCTTAATTTTGTAATGTCGGATGTTTCATAATTAGAATGACATTAACTGTCCAAACAAATTTGATTGATTGTGTTGGTTGCATAACTGATGACACTGCAGCCATTCTAAGATATATTTTGTTTTCAGACACAATGGAGATACTAAAAATAGCTTAATGGGATTTCTGTTTTCTAACAATTGTACTCGTTGCACAAAATTATGAAATATTTTATCTTCTAACAAACATTAGATTCTTTAAATATAGATTATATACAGAGTTAAGAGAATGCAAAGAAATATATATTATAAAGGATGTATTATATGAACTATATTCTTGGAAAAGAACTAATCTTCTACCAAAGTATGGATTTTGAAAAAGATTTATGGAATTCACATTTTATTATATCTCTCGTGTTGTTTTAGATAGAGATTTATAGTTTTTCTGTTCCGAATAGTCGTGTAATTTCAACTAAAATAAATTTCAACATTTTTCAGACTTCAACAGAAATTTTACAAGATATAAAAAAGCGTTTATTCTCTTTATATTTTTCTGCTCTTTATCGTGTTCAAAAACTAAAATTTTCTTTTATTTTATAGCAAAAAAAAAAATAAAAAATAATTATTATTTTAATAAAATCTCTTCTTAAATGAATTTTTTATAATGCTACAAGTTAGAACTTTCTTATCCTAAATCTCTTTTAAACACATTTAAATAAAGAATATTATCAAAATTACTGTTATTAATTTGCGAGAGAGACATTTACGTAATTATAACGGCTTAAGTCACAGTTTTAAATTGCTTAAAAATTTAAAAATGAATGCGATTATTCGTTATGAAGAGAATTCTTTCATTTGCAAGAGGACGACAGATGTTCTTCCTGTTCCAAATCCATTATTTACAGAATGGATCTATTTATAATTACAGTAAATATTTCAGATAAAAACTTGTATTTTGAATAATGATAAAACGACAGAAAGAATTTTAATTCTGAAAAAGAATTTCATGGAGTAGCCTACGCTCAATAAGTAATGTTCTATAAATAATCTTTGGAAATCTGGAAGAAAGGCTTGTTCGACAGATTTTCCTTAGCCTACAAGATTGGAAAATTTCCAAAAAGTTCTCTTATTCTCTAGAAAGATCGAAACGGAAATCTCTAGCAGTTGAATTAAACCACCAACAATCTCTGCATTAGCACTAGATCTTGAATATTTATCATTTACAATTTAGAATTAATGGAGATTCTCTGTGTTAAATATGATTTGCCTTTAAATGTTCAAACTAATGTAACTGCAGACATCCAGATGTATACGTAGGAGAAGTGAAGCAATAAATATCAAATTAAGGCTATGTTTTATAATGAAAACAAAGAAAATGTATTAAAAATTAAATTAAAATTTCTCTTTTATTTATTTACTAAAACAAGTTGACAGATAAACAAAAAAAGGAGCTAAATTAAGTAACAAAATAAATATTTTTTAGCTGTATGTCAGTTTTTACACATTTCTTTACTTTATCATGAAAGGATTTGTCAACAGAGGACCACATCAGAAGATAAAAAAATAGACTTGGAGAAATAGTTTAACGATAAAAAGATTAAAGTTTTTGGAAGTGAAAATTTGTTTTTTTTTCTTCTTTTTTGGAAAAAAAAGAGATATTGATGAATTGCTTCTCTAACATATTTTAATGCCAAGGATATTTACTACGCTATCAATTAACAATGATGTGTGTATATTTGTATATATATAAATATATAATCTTTAAAAAGATAAATACCAACTAATGATTATAATCATATATTATTATATAATTTAAATATTATATATTTGTAACTATATATAACCTACCTATCAGTATGTCGTTACATGATACATCTAATTGATTTTGCTAATTGGACGTTTGGTCATTAATCTAACAGAAAACAAGGAAGACAAGAAAACATTGGCTAACATGTACGAAGCGTACAATCTCCCGATATCCAACGAGAGGTCTCGGTGACGAAAACATCTCACTTAACTTCTTCGATCAATCTTCTTCACTGCTGTATCGCTGTTGTCTACCAATCAGATCTGCTTCGAGTAGCACAGAAGATGGATGTGAGTTGAGAGGCAAGAGTCATTTGCATTTCTCGATAAAATGAGATCCTCTGTTTTGTTTCTAGTCGAGATTATATTGGATTTTCTACAGATCTGGTTAGAAATGGAGGATTAAAACTTTATTATTTACGAGTCTGTCACCATCGATTTAAAATAATATAAAAACGAATAGACACATTTTTATATATTAGATGTTATTTAGATGTCGTTTAATAGTTGGAATCATGAATCAAAAGCGAGCATCGTATTATTCTCGAAGCTATTTTTCGAGAAGAAATATAAAAGAGAGTTCATCATTGAGAGCAACACAACTCTCTTGACATTTGAAGGATTTAGTAGAGTTTGGAGTCCGAACAGAAAAAAAAAACAAAGAAAGAAACATAGCGGGCTGTTACATCATCGACTTTTTCAGATCATTTTTCACAAGTTTCGGACCGATACAGATCATATCTACAAAATTCTTTTTATGGCTTTGCTGTCCAGCTGGAAAAATTGCTCATAGCTTCGTATATTGTAAAGTATATTTCAAATTTTACAATTTACATAACATCCGAAATAGTTATTAAGTGTCAAAATGTTTAATAATTAAAAATGCCGATTCTGTTAATAAACACCTAATATCGCATTGTGGATAAGAAGAAAAATGTTCGGAAGATGTATTGATAATAAAAAATGTGAATATTTTAGAATATAGAATGCAGAGAAGAGATTTTAAAAAAGGTAACAAGTATTGATTAGCTTGTATAAGTGAGAATTCGATGTGACGTTCGACTATGTCTGATATTCTCGAGATTTGGAGAGAATGAAGTTTTTTTGTTAAATTCGACCAGACAGCTATTCGATTTAATCTGCATAATGGATGCAAACTAATGATTAGATCTAAAATTTTAATCAGGAAACTAAATACAAGCTTTAAAACATTTGAAATTTTATTTTATTCAGTTTACATGGAAATATTACAGAGCTAACCAGAATTTCCCTTGTATATTTTCGTGTAAGATATTTGTTTTTCGATAATCTGTGGGTTTGCGGGAGTTCTTTTTTATTTATTACGAATGCCATTTTTATGCTTCCGTTATTTCCGAGAAAAAATTTTCCGCCGGTGAAATAAATCACCGTTTAAAAACGAGCTTCGGAATCGAAGTTTTAAAAAAAATATATTTATTCAATAATTTTTCCCCAAAATATTCGTATCGACTGAAATTTATTGAAAAAATATATATATATTTTATATTGAAGGGTCATATTCGACTAAAGTTTAGAAAAAGTAATCTCGACTCTCACTGCGTTTATAACCAAAGGCGACGAAAATTTAAATTGAGGAATATTTCAGAAGTCATAAACTTGAATACCTTTTCTGAATGAACTATTCTCTATATTTTTAGTGAAATATTTATCTTCTCCAACTTCGGGAGAATCTTTTTCCACATGGTTTCAGTTATAACGATCATTGAAATCTATCGATAGAAATCCACGGAAAAGAAACCTTTCGATAAAACTTACTTTACTTTATTTGAAAAAGTAATTTATTTTTTCTATTAAATATACTCTGCTAGGATAATTAACAAGGATAAACCGAATTTTAAAAATATATATATATTTTTACAATGATTATTTTTAAACTTTTTTCAAAGTACCGGCTTTTCCATTCAGTTCTACTATGTCTCCTGAAATTGTAAAAAAATAATTAGTACGTTAATTTCATCAAAGAGTATGATTTAGTATAATCATATTACACATTTACCAGTTTTAACTATTGCTGTAGCATTTCGAGCTGCAATTATACAGGGTGTGCCAAATTCTCTAGCGACTACTGCTCCTGAAAAGAATGCACGAATCATTATAATGTGTATTCTATAACAGCATCATTTGGAAATAATGGATCGATTTTTACCGTGTGATAGAAGCCCGCCCAATTCTGTAACTATTCCAGATAATTTGGGAAAATAAGGAGTCCATCCAACATCTGTCGAATATGTTACTAAGATTTCACCTGGCTGAATAATGAGTTTTTAAAACTGGTTATTTATACATTGTAACTACATTATAACTTTGCTATTCACCTGAATGTTTTCGGCTTCTTCAAATTTTTGAACAACTCTTGCCGGAGCTACGACAATCCCATGGTATATTGGTATACCTGTTAATAATTTAATAAACAGTTTATTAACTTAAGCTATTAAATAAAATTAATTAGAGAAGCATTCATTAACCTTTACCATTTATAGTCCAGTCCGATGATTTAGATATGTATTCCATCTTTTCCATAATCTAAAGAGAAATGCACGAATACGTAAAACATTTATTTTATATTTGTATTTCTTTATTTACTTATTATTAAAAAATAATTTACCGGCTTTGGAAATCCAATAACAATTTCATCGAATTTGAGATCGTATATACTTTTATGCAGTTTTTGTCTACGCAAGGCTCTAAAAATTAACGAAGAATATTTTAAATTACAATTTTTTTGTTCTGTAAAAATAATTTATGTAACCATATATTGTTACATAAATTTAATATTTCAACCTTTTCAAATTCTATTATTTTCATCATTTAGGTGGAAATAATTTTTTTCGAGTTTAGTTATAACAGTGCCATAACTAGTGTAAAAATGTCTACATTTCCTTTGGAACAGATAAATTCTGTACAAATGACATCCTTTGATACGTGGCAAATCTTCAGAGAAATATTTCACGGACATAAAATACTTCACATAAGTGAAAACGTCTAAGAAAATTTATTGCAGATGTATGGAAGAATTTTCAAAGAAAAAAATTCTAGCATGCATTTGCATTATTCTAGTCATCAATCAACTTTTTCTTAAAACCTAAATATTACTACTCTGCAAGTTTTTGAAGTGTAAAGTTTGCTTTTAACTATTGGACTGTTTAATGTCAAATGAAGCTATTTTTAGTCCCAATTTTTTAAAAAAATTTCCTAATTTGACAGAGTAAGCAACTGTTCGGTAAGTCAATGGAGAATTCTGTATCTTATATGAATTTTAATAAAACATAACAAGATGAATCAATACGCTTTGAATTCGGAAAAAAATATTAAAATTTATTTCACTTACTTTGAAATTAGATGAGCTGATCTATTCTTCAATAAAATTCCTATTTCTTCATGTGTGAAGAAGAAAATAAGGTTAGAATCGGGAATTCTTCCTTCGTTCTCCATCAGTTCACCCAATTTTCTGTAGGCTCTCCTGTATATGTCGACTGACTTAATCAATATTGACTAAAAGCAACGAGAACAATAATAAGACAATGTCCTAAAGGATAATTATATATATATAGTTCATTAACAAACAAATATTATTGATTTTACCAATGCTAAAGGTTTCATTCTATCGATTCAACAAAATAAAAATAACCGGTCGAGAGTATAAGTCAAATTTCTATTATTTATTCTAATCACGTACAACTTTCTTTTGACAATTTATAAAATATAACGCATTTACCTTACTTTTTTCTCTCCTGCTGACAGCGTTACGTGCCCAACTAACTAGCTTCTTCAACAGATACCTAGCCAAGAATAAATTAATTTTTTCCACTCTGTTTACATCTTTCGAGCTTACAAATTTACAGTTTAATTATAATGAAAGTAGGATAATTATCGCGCAAAGCCATTACTTAAAATCACGGCAGTAACAAACTTTGCCAGTTTCTCACGCATCCATAAATAGTAAGATGCTGGACGACACAAAATTCTCCTGTAAAGTGGAGTAATGGATTGTAAATTCTTACCTTTGTATTCGATTGATAGGGAGACGCAGTTGTTCGACAGCTGCACTGGGCGATTCGCTTTTTTTCTTGTCTTTCGTCTCTTTTGTTAAGTCTTTAAGTATCAACTGCAACAATAATTTTAACAATTACATTTCAGCCTAAATGATTCTCCTTAAACTTTAAAAATAATCATTCAAACAGACCTGTAATGATTTAACGAGTTGTGCAGGATCCAAGTCCCAAGGCAGAGACAATAAATCAAACTAAGTAGAAAATCAGCCATAAGAGATTATTTTAATCTATTCGAAATTTATAAAATTTCCCTTACTTCCATTAATCCTCGATGACCGTGTTGTTGTAAGAATTCCTTATATTTAATTCCTACGCAGCCCTTCTCTTCTTCCATCCATTTGACGGCTTCCTAAGAACACAAATAAAAATTTCAAATGCTTGCATATTTTTCTTACATTTCGTCAAAAACGGAAAAAGAAATTCCAAGATACTAATTAAAGAAAAATACCTATCGGATGGTTTTACAAAGAATTTTTATAACAATATTAAAATAATTCCCAATTTGAAAATGAAGTAAACAGTTATATTTGGAATTTGATCATTTATTTTTTACAAAATGCCTTTTTATTTTCCTTTATATTCTTCATCATTTTCGCTGTTTATTATAAGATTTCCTTCAATATCGTTAAAACAACCGTAAATCAAAAATAAAAAATAAAACTAACAATGAGATGAGAATAAAGTAAGAAGAGCAAAACAGTTTTTGCTCTCTTAAATATGGCTTTAACCTTCTCAAGAGACTAGAAGCATTTGTTTAGTATAATGAAGCAAAAGAAAAGATATTGAAAGCTATTACATGCTGGATAAGTTTCTTAAAGAATCTTTTACGTGAATAGAAAATCGGCTTTACTTTTCGCTATACAAAAGTGGTGTTATATCGAACTTAAAAATACAGCAACGAAAAAATAAATAAATAATAATATTCAAACTAAATTTTTCCATATTGTTTCGAATTTTTTTAAAATAATTGATATATAATTAAATATTATTATTTCTTCGAAATTGTAAAATTCTAAATTCTGCCTCGTTTAAACTTTAGAAATATTTATTTTATCCTATTAAATTTTTACTTCAAATATCTATAAATGAATTATCGAACTACATCAAAAATAGTTTTCCATATTTCTTTAGCAACTGAATTTCGGAATTTTTATGCACACTTTCGATTTAGTAAAATTGATGTTTTCTTACCACTCGAAAATCCAATACTGGAGAAACCTTCTACACGGTCTAATGTTTGCATAAGTTAACTGGAAATGTTTGTTTTGTTCTTCTTTAAATCGATAAACAGACAACAGCTAAATTATAAGATCATTTTACTTCGCTTAAAAATCCCTCAACTAAAATAAAAACAAAGACATTGAATGTATAATTATTCTGCAATCAAGGAAATAACGTCATATTTAATTTTTCATCTGTGTTTTGTGGTTAAACCTGTATTAATATTCAAAGAAATACTGAAATAATGATAATCCAAAGAAACGTAAATAATTCTTTAAGAATACAAATAATCAATTTTTCAGGTGAATTTAAAAAATACGATCTCCAAGAATATATACATGTACTGTACTTGAACATCGTATACATCTTGTTTATATACATATGTTTATAAACAGGAAGGAAAATATTAATTAATTTAAGTAATTTCTTGTAAGTTTTAAAGAAAAAAGTTAATTGAATAAAAAATTAAATATATTCTATCAATACAAAAATAAAAATATGGTAAAAGGCCATCCAATGCTTACAGCTTAGTCCTTCCATATTCATGATGGTATAGAAATTTAAATAAAATTTTCAAGTTGTTTGAAAGTATTACAAATAGGAACATTAAAAAACTCTTTTGCTGTCACAAAAAATACAAACACGTTTTTAGTCAGAACAAAGACAAAAAAATATTAATATTTTTCTTATACAATTAAAAAAGTTCTCGTGTACTGTTCCATACAAACAGTGCCCAGGGCTGGTTTGGGTCCTCCTTATGTCATGGGCCCTAAAGCGTCGCTCAATAATAGTTACGCCATTAATTGAAGGTAAATTAAAATTGCTGGAGATTTATTTCCTATTAGAATAATAAATAGTCACGGTTCAAATCGAATAATGAAAATGACTCTTTCAAAATTAATATTTTAAATATACGTATCATTTTTCAATTAATTCAGTTTAATTGCGTCAACTAATCAATCGTAATTAATAACAGAAAATAATGAATTTTAAAGCAAACAGACATTATAACTTAACATTTACTTTTAAATACTTAAGCTATGCATTTAATTATAATTTTCTACTCTATTTTCCAGTTATCTTTCTAGTGTTTTTATTTTGTTCTTAAGGGTCTATTTTAATAATTAACAACGCGAGGATGCTGAACAATCTTCATTAATTTCATTTCCCGTCATTTTTCTTAATTTTTGTTAAGACTATATCCTGTTAGGAAATATCTTATAATGAAAAAATTTCTCTTCATTAAAATCTATTAAAAGCAACGAAAAATCAATTAACAGCGAGGATACTCGAGCTTATAAAACATTAACTTTGATTTATAAAGTGAGTATATACACATATATATGTTTATTCAGTGCCAGATTTCCGACTAGGCACGCGGGGCATATGCCTAGGGGCCCCAAAATTGGAAAAATAAAGCAATTTTATCGTTGTAAACTGTATATTATAATTTATAAATGATTCTATGGATACCATTAGACGTTATTAGTTTATGATGTCGTAAAATTACGTTCAGAGATTCCCAATCTTCTGTGCCCTAGGGACTCTGGAAGTCTTAACCCACCACCGTGTTTATTTATAAAACGAAAAATCAGTTTGTCGTTTGTATTCTTATCTATTATTAACAAGCAAAGTCAAATAAGATTAATAAAGTATTTGCTCAACTATTCTCTAATTTTCATTTATTAATCTTACTCGAAGAAAGTGGAAATGAGCTCTTTATTCCGCTCATTCACGGATGGCCATAAAGAAAAAGTGAAAAGAATTTAATATGATCATTTCGCAGAACAGCACAATCTATTTTATATTCAAGGTACAACAATTTGCCTATTGATTATCTGCTAAGCTATAAAATTGGAATTTCTTTCGTGAATTCTTTTGATGAAATTTAAGTTTGGGCTCTTATTTTGATGAATGTTGTCAGTAAACATTTAAAAAAAACTTGAGTTGAATAGAAAGCGAACACTCATCTTTCTACAGGGAATGTTACCAAGATTTGTTTCATGTCAATATCATCACAAACGACTAAAGTAAAAGTCATAACCTCTGAGAAATGACTGCATAGAAAGTCATTTCTCTAGAGAAAAACTTCCTTTTGCATCGGAATCATTTCTTTCCATTATCTCTAAGTATTTTCATACATGCGAAGAACTTTTATTAAAAAGCAAGAAAAATTTACTTATTAAAACTTCAATATGCGTTATCCACTTGAATGTAAAATTGATTAAAGTTAGAATATTATTTAAAAATTCTATTAAAGTTTAGAAATTTTGATTTTATCCATGGGAAAGATCTGATTTAAAATCAATTTCTAGTTTAAAATCAAAATGAAATGATTATGGCGTGTTTATATAAAGATAAAAAAGAAATTTTTTAATTCTTAAGTAAAGAATTAGAGTCAGTGAAAAAATCAACGCTTTGTTATTTATTAAATATTCATTCTAAGGAAAACATTGCCGCTTTTTTTTATTAAATACTCGTAGATCAGATGAAATTAAAACTTTTAACCCAGTTAAAAATGGCGGATCATTTAGAAAAAACAAAGATTGAATTAAAAGAGTAATCGATAGAATTTTCCAATTTAATTGTTTTTATTAAAAAGTAAAATAGGATGTAAATTGAATTATTAAAGTTTCTCGTATAAAATACGATTATAACTAAACCAGGGGGAATTGAGCGCTTTCATGAAAATAATATTCTTGTTAGAGATATTTTAAACAGTTTAGTTGTCGAGAATTTATAAGCGAGTATAAAATAATAGCATTAAAATTTTTGTACAGTTATAACCTTAATTTAAATATTCGCATCAATGCAACTATTTATATGTCAATGAGAAAATGCTTGATATTGGGATATTGTTAAATGAATTATTCAGGCTTCTAGTTTTCGCAATACGCTTTGTTGCGAATTAGATAAAGATAAAACCAATAAATTGCATTATTTAAATTACATAACAGAATCTTCGATCCTATAGAACGCCGTTCTTGCCTCCTGCCTGTAATTATGCTCCGACATGTATGAATTTCTATCTCAACAGATATTATAGATAACTTCTAAATTCAACAACAAACAACAAAATTAGCAATAAAATCGAAATCAACATAATTATTTACTTATTAAATGCATTCATTATATTACCCGTTTAAAGTATTAACTTAATTAATCACATCGCTTCGACTAAAATGCCAATCAATGAACTCCCAAATTGCAGTGATAAGCCTTTGATATCAAAATAAGACCTGATGAAATGTCTAAAGGGCATCTGTTGTTCGCTTTTAAGAGAACAACAGATACCTTTAGAGAATTAATGAATTTTTCACAGAAATTTATCAGAATATTACATATTTACAATATTGAAATTTGCGGAAGTTCAAAAAATATATTTAAATTTAATATAGTTAATTTCCAAGAATTCCTCAAGAGGTATAATGTGAAATACAAATTTTCATTTTTATACGACTTAATCATAATTTTAAAAATAACTCTTAGGATATATTTTTAATTTTTTTTAAATGTTAGAAACATTCATATTAAATTGTCTCAGTACATCAAATTTTCTTTTAGTTCTTTTTTATTTATTTAGATATAGCAAAGGAAAAAGTCATTACAAACCGGATCCAGAGAATAAAGTAGATGGGAAACTGTATTATTGATTGCAAATTTATTGCATTTCTGACAATTTTGTGTGGATATACATTATCATTGAGGACGATGCAATGCGTTTTTTTTTTTTTTTTTTGGCAATTCCTCTATATATTTCTAGTGCAAATCAGATAGCAAAATAAATATACTGATTAACAGTTGAGCAGTAACAATAAATTCACAGTATACAATTCTTTTAATATTGATAAAATCACTAATAGATCCTTGGATTATTGTTTAGATGTTGTTTTTATTTTAGTTCACTCGACAATCCATTGATTATCGGCGTTTACTTTCTGAATATTTTTTTATTGATTGATAATTGCTATTAATTTAACTCAGCTATCTTGGATTATCGACAATTAGTTTAAACAACTTTTGACAAATTTCGAATCAAAGTTCTCTGTTCCTTTGAAAAATTTTGAAGGATAAATTTGTGCGTGTTTAATATATTTTCATTTAGACCTATAACTTAGTAATATAATA